CTGGGCTGACCACGGTCACTGCTGGCATGGCACCTGTGCCCAGTCCCGGCCAGGGCCGCTTCCCCATTGGGAGCGTAGGTTCTGCTGAGCGGGTGTCCGTCTGCGGTTCAACTCTGTCTCTGCCAGGGTCCATGCCACTTGGTCCTCATGAGAGTGGAGGTAGGTCTTCGGGGCTGGCCTAACCTCCCAGAGGGGATTTTACTCTGTTGTTTTCCTGATCTTAATACTGGATCGTAGCCACTGTAAACTGGAGTATTTTAAGTGCCCAGGGTCTTTGAAGATACATTTAAAGTATATTAAAAATAGTGAGGGGCAGCAGATGGTGGCGACTGTCTCTGCACTCCTACATGGCCGACCGTGTTTTGAGTCCAGCAGCCTGAAACTCACACTGGGAGCATGTGCATGTGGGCCCAAGATCCGGAGGAGAAGGGATTATGGTGCGGCCATGCCCCCGGGGGTGATTTCTCATTTTTCCTCTGTCTGTCTCTCCCTGGTGAGCACATGCACCCTAAGGCAAAGACCTCTTAATAATACTCAAAAGCTGGCTGGGCAGCTCCCTCTAGGAGGCCCTCTCCCGGAGCCCCACAGGAACTGTTTCTGCCTCCCCTGCAGTTCTGCTGTCACTGCAGGCTCCCGGGGAACCTGGCACGATGGGCAGCGCCTCTACACAGCACTGCGACGACGCACTAAAAAGTCACCCCTGCATGGGGCATTCGTGGGGAAAGGAGGTAGTCCATCTCCAACGAGTTCTGTGAGGTCCTGCCTGCCAGGACAAGGTGCTGGTGCCACAAACTTTTCTGAACGGAGGCTGGGGCAGACCTGCCTGACTGGCCTAAGGGCTGCACAGGTGCCTGGTGCAGGACGGGGCTATTGTAGACAGTGCCGAGGACGGGGGTGGGGGATGAGGCAGAGATCTGGAGGGTAGGATATTCGGCCCCTGCACCTGAAGGCCCATCATAGCCTGGGTAGCAACAGCTAATAGAAATGAGACAAAGTTATTACCCAGAGCTCAGCAGGATGGGCATGGGCATTGCAGATGCTTCCTTGGTGGGTGGCCCAGGTAGTGGAGGGGGAGCTCGTGCAGGCCGACTGGCAGGGTCTCACTGCAGTCCAGGGCAGGGCCAGTGCCCACCTGCTCTTCCCACCTGAATGCTACCATTTGGCCTTCCAATTGTCGACTGATCCTGGGGCTGACGTTCTCTGGGCTGACCACGGTCACTGCTGGCATGGCACCTGTGCCCAGTCCCGGCCAGGGCCGCTTCCCCATTGGGAGCGTAGGTTCTGCTGAGCGGGTGTCCGTCTGCGGTTCAACTCTGTCTCTGCCAGGGTCCATGCCACTTGGTCCTCATGAGAGTGGAGGTAGGTCTTCGGGGCTGGCCTAACCTCCCAGAGGGGATTTTACTCTGTTGTTTTCCTGATCTTAATACTGGATCGTAGCCACTGTAAACTGGAGTATTTTAAGTGCCCAGGGTCTTTGAAGATACATTTAAAGTATATTAAAAATAGTGAGGGGCAGCAGATGGTGGCGACTGTCTCTGCACTCCTACATGGCCGACCGTGTTTTGAGTCCAGCAGCCTGAAACTCACACTGGGAGCATGTGCATGTGGGCCCAAGATCCGGAGGAGAAGGGATTATGGTGCGGCCATGCCCCCGGGGGTGATTTCTCATTTTTCCTCTGTCTGTCTCTCCCTGGTGAGCACATGCACCCTAAGGCAAAGACCTCTTAATAATACTCAAAAGCTGGCTGGGCAGCTCCCTCTAGGAGGCCCTCTCCCGGAGCCCCACAGGAACTGTTTCTGCCTCCCCTGCAGTTCTGCTGTCACTGCAGGCTCCCGGGGAACCTGGCACGATGGGCAGCGCCTCTACACAGCACTGCGACGACGCACTAAAAAGTCACCCCTGCATGGGGCATTCGTGGGGAAAGGAGGTAGTCCATCTCCAACGAGTTCTGTGAGGTCCTGCCTGCCAGGACAAGGTGCTGGTGCCACAAAGGCCATCCCAGGAAGGCCAAAGGCTCCTAACACCCACAGCTGGCAGAGGGTTTCTCCTATCCTGAGGGAAAGGAAATGCTGGCGGCTCGTGTGACCGAGGGAGTCACACTGGACGCTGAGGACAACCATCCGTTGGTACTGCACCATGAGGACACTTGCCATTTAATGCCGTATGCAGAGAATATAGGGGGCTACCCCTTAGAACAAGTTGCTGTGACATGACGACCCTCCCACCAGCTAAAGGTTTCTGTCCTCAGAACAGTTACAAAGAGGGAAACTCGAACCTGCTGCCCTCTTACCTTACTCTGATGCAAAACTTCCCTGGGCTGGGACCAGCAGATGGAGTAATGGCTATGTCACTGGACTCCCATGTAGTCAACCGCGGTTCGAGTCCCAGACACAGTGGCTTAAACTCCAGCCGGGCACATGTGCGTGCGTGCATGCCCAAGATCCCGAGAGGAGAATGGAGGAGAAGGGACTGCGGTGTGGCCATTCCCCCTGGGGGGTGATTTCTCGCTCTCTTTGTCTCTTTCTGGTGAGCGCTCACACCCTATAGCAAAACAAACAAAACAAAGCAAAGAAACCTCCCTGGACCAACCCCTCTAGACCTGGGCAGCCAGACAATGGCAGGTCTGAGTCTACTAAGCAGAGGCTGAAAGGGGCGCCAGGGGGCAGTATCAGGAGAAAGCTCTCACTGGCCGTTGGGGTGTCCCCACCAGTGCTTATCTTTGAAGAGGCAAAATTAGGGATGGCTTAGAGGAGGGAGTCACTCTGGCTTTAGCAAACTAAATATAGCACATTATTTAGGTCAAAATCATTCCAGACTGCTCTGAAATGTGAAACACAGGCTCAGCCGTGGTGGCTCATGCTGCTAGGACACTACTACTAGGGCGTAAGACACTGCTAGGGCCACCTGGGAGGCCTGCTGTGGTTCCTGGTCTGGCAGGAGGATCACGACATACTGAGCCCCCATTAAAAATCAGTCAATCCCCCACAACCCCATTATTAATAAAATTTAAAAATACTGAAACTAAAAATATAGGTGACTTTCTGAAAGAATTACTTATCATTATTATTCTTTAATTTGATTACAGACACTCACCAGAGACAGGGAACGTGAAAACGCAAGCAGCCGGTTGCAAGACTCTAACTGCCGTCTGTCATGTGGGAGTCCAGTGCCCCAACCGCCTGCCACGCCACCTGCCAGCCCCAGGTGACTTTTTTAAAAACCTTGGGGCATGAAAGCTGAGACACGAACCACACACAGCATTAACCCGAGTACGGCCTGTGCCTAACCAGGTGCTGACGGCACTTTCACGTGGCCGCTCGGCCCCTGCACACCACCATGCCCACCTCACAGACAAGGATGTGGCTGCCCATCAGTGCCGCCTTCAGAGGGGAGGCCAGGACTTGGTTTCAGAGAAGCATCGAAAAGGAAAAGGCACTTTTGACCACATAAATGCTGAAGGCTTCCGTATACCCTGCTACCACACACACCAAAGGCAGCTGCCAGATGGGTTCACATCTCCAACTTACAGCAGGGCTGACGTACGTTAGGAACCATCTGTATGGGGCCGGCAGGTGGCATGGTGGTTAGAAATGCTGGACTCTCACAGGGCCGACTGGTTTGAGTCCTAGGCCTGGCAGCTTGCTTTCTCACTTTCCCTGTCTCTCCTTCTCTCTCTGATCAAATTAAAAATAACAAATGGAAATAAATATTTTTTAAAAAGAACCATCTGTGTGAAAAAGCCCACACTCCCCAAGAATGCAAGAGTGGTACAGGCAGGTGCACAGACGTTCCCAGCTGTCAGAGAGAAGCATGAGCAAGGGGCCACCGCCACCATCCCTAAGGGGACCGGCATGCACCGCAGGGCCTCGTGTGAATTTCTGGGAGTATTTCTGTAACATAATTCCTCATTAGTGCAATGTTGCTCTGCGGGCCAAGGCCACATGGGAGGCTAGGTTCTATCTGTGCCCCCCCCACCCAAGCTGGAAACAACGGGTGTGGCGGTGCATGGTGCATGCCTGCAGTCCCAGCTACTCAGGAGGCTGAGACAGGACGGGTGAGGCGGTGCATGGTGCTTGCCTGCAGTCCCAGCTACTCAGGAGACTTAAAAAAATTTGGAGCTGGCAGATAGTGTGGGGATTAAGGTGCCGGACTCCCAGACAGCTGGCTGAGGTGTGAGTCCTGGACCTGGCAGCCTGTTTTCTCATTTTTCCTCTCTCCATGTCTCTCTCTGGTCAAGTTACAAATAATAATAATAAATAAATAATTCTTTAAAAAGCAAAGAAAATTTTTAAAAGTTAAAAATATTTAAATTATCTTTTAATTGTATAGTTCTGCTTCCAGGAAGTTACCCCACGGAGATGCCTGGGCACATGTGCCTGGAAGCTGCAGAGGTGGGAGATGCAGAGTCGGTGACAACAGTGCCACTGCGAGGCAGCTGCATTTCGGCCATCACAGTGAGGCCCAGCAGCCCGCCTGGGTGGGCCATGACACGTGTGTAAGCTGATGGTTATAAACACGCTCTGAGCCCAGGGTGTCTCACAGCCGCCCGACGAGGGACATCCCGCAGCTCTGCACACCTTGCACATGAGCAGACGGAGGCTGAGAGAGGTCGCTGTTGTCACAGCTGGTGAGGGGCAGGAGCAGGACTGGGGCCCGGTCTGCCGGGGGCTGAGGGCTGTGCTCTCAAGCCCACAGCGTGCTGCTCCCCCCAGCTTCAGATGACGTGAAAACAAGGGCACCACGCCGGCCTCTCGTGGCGCCGTGTGCGCAGAGGTGGGCATTCGGGGCCCAGGCACTCCGTGTGCCAGTGGCGGGCCGGGCTGAGGCTGGCTGGAGACCCACCACGGGGCAGAGCCAATCAGGGACACCGAGGAGCGTTTCGTCAGTTGTTTATTCTGTCATCCTGCAGACGAGCACGTTTACAGCATACATGGCTTCGAATGAGCTAAGAATATATAAAACAGTGACTGTGTTTATATATATTAATACTGCTCCAAACAAATAAATAAAAGTATTTTAATACACTAAGCTTGGCAAATACAATTGTATAGGGACAAAACTGTATTATACAATATTTTTACATCTTTAAGGGCAACTAAAGGCAACTGTGCTGCAGGAGCTCTGAGCGAGCCCACGCTCCAGTCCGTCTTCCACGCGTCTCAATGTTTCCGGACGGGGCGCTGGGGCTCCTGAGGAACAAGGGCCGCAACCTCTGTCATGGGAACCTGTCAAACTGCCTTCCTCGTGCAGCCGCCCACTCCACGCTCCGACGAGGCCGGGGGCTCCCTGCCCCACGGTGGTGCAGCACGAGCGTCGCCCCGACCTGGCAGGGTATGAGCCGCTGAGCCCGGGATGGAGCCTCCAGACCAAAACCTGGACCGTCTCCATGACTGGCCAAGTCTTAGAGTTGTATGGTGACCCACAATATAAGGTAAAATCTGGGAACATAATTCACATAAAGGTGCCACATGCAAAACTGCCGACGGATGACTTAACATTTGCTATATTCCCTTTAATAAATGCGGGTTACTTAATGCTGTTTAGACAAAAAAAAAAAAAAAAATCGGGTAACAGTATGGGCAACATTTAATTGGGAAGGTAGTGACGTTAAAAAGGGAAAAGATGAAAGTAAGAAATGACGAATTAAATGAGATGATGGGGCGTGAAAGGCTAACCCAGCTGTAGTTGAACAGGGCCCCGGCCCTGAGAGAGGCCAGTCTGACGCCACAGTGGCCACTGTGCGCCGGGCGTGGCCGCCGGGCCTTCTGCCCTCCATGGCAAACTCAGTTTTGAGGCAGGGGCTGTGAGCAGCAAATGTTCTTCCACACCAGGTCATGTCCCCCTCCCGGCAGGTACCGGCACACCGCACGTTCTGCATGCTGACTTCTGGGTAGAAAGGATCTGGAATGTCACCTGTTCCACCCCTACCTTGATGCCTGCCACCTCCATGTCCCTGCCAAGCGGTCCTGCCTCTGCCTTAGCACCCCAGGCTCAACTTTGTGACAAGTTTCAAAGTGGCATTTCTAAAGAAGCCAAGAGAATGATATTCAGACTTGGAGACAAGAATTTCCAAGGGGCCCACAAATGATTAGGCCCGACGTCACTAAGAACGTGCTGCGTGTATTTCTTTGATAGCCTTCAAATAGCATGGAAACACGATCGTGACCGACAGAACTGGGAACGCGCATAAATTAAGGAAAATAAATTCTGCTAGATGCAGATAAGATGCATCATCTTCTAAAAGATGATCAGACACAATTTACTGTGAAATGCCTGAATTTTAGGCCCCATAAACCCCTTTCAAAATCTCACTTGAGGAGATCATTTCAACTGTTTCTCAATCATCTTACATAACAGAATGAGGAGCATAACAATTATTGCAAACCTCAAAATAAGACACTTTCACCGGACATTCAAACATGATTGCATTGTCTTTTCGAAGAAGATATTTTAGAAATCCTGTAAGAGTACAGTTGCTCTGAAAATACGGAGGTTTCCACTATCTCTCCAGCTACAAACTCCTCACGGAGTGTTGTCTCTGAAGACATCAGACACGCCACATTTGAGGCCCTCCACTGATAACTTGACATTCAGAGAAACAGGGAGATGCTGCCCTGTGGGCATGGTGGGACTGAAGACGTGGAGCGTAGGAGAACAGGACCTTACTGCTGGCTTCTGGTCTCAGACACCCTGACCTGTCAGTCATGAGGGACAAAAGTGAAAGTGCCCGCAACTGTGTGGCTACTGGCAGGTGTTACCTTCGGATCCCTCAGGCTGCTTTCCAACCTTTCAACATCGGTTTCATGGTGGTGCTGTAGCTAGAACGGCTCATTAGAATCAGCTGTTCTCCTTTATGAGCTAGAAATAGCTTCAGTCCCCAAACTGCAGTTCACATCTACTGGTCTGCCTAGGGTCCAGTCACTAAATACAGTATATCCTGGCACGCATTCAGAGTTTTTTAAAGTAGACTGCAATTCATTGCTCACTTTTGAGTTACTCAGTAGAAAAATAAGTTAGGTGGGCATTTGAAAGAGTCTTCTAGCATTTTAGACAAACCTCGCTGGGTTCTGCTAGGTACCTGTCAATGAATCTTGGAGTCACAGCTGAAGGCTACGGTTGTCACTATCTGCTCTGGAGCCAACATGACCTCCTATCAATGCCAACGGGAAAATAAAAACATGCTCTGTAGACTCTACAGTGAAATATTAAAAAAAAAAAAAAACATAAAAATAAAACCAATCCTTCAGGTCTTCTTGAAGACTTCATATATGACACTAGAGGGTACCCACATTTATTACGCAACGGCTAGAGGACACCATGTGTTCACGTTTCAACTTTTCCGTAAGTCCCTTCGGGAGGCCTGTAATGCTTGGGGAAAGCCTTCAGCTGCAGGGAATTAAATGCATATTTGCGACTTCCAACATTCTTCATTGTATTTTCTCTTCGACAACCCTCACTGGGGAAAAAACAAGCACAAGAAATGACAGCAGTAAAAAAGGAAAAAAAAAAAAAGACTTAAACTAAGATGAAATGAACTGATTATTTTCATAGCATTAAAAAAAAAGATTAATTTAAATGGTGTCAGACTCATTTACGACAAGTACATGTGAGATGGGTTTCCGAACGAGGCCATTACGAAGCACAGACACGGACACATGCTGTATGCGGCTGCAGGATCCGCGCCTCCCGAGCAGCGCTGTCTCTAAGTGGGAGGAAGCTGTCCAGGCCGATGGCATGGACCTCACATCTAATCACCTGGGGTTCTAGCATAAGGTGCGCTTCAAAGGTTCACTGTACAGCAAATTAAAGAGGAAGGAAATGTTATTAACTAGCAAAGTCCCTGAAGACCTGTGCTTTCCTGTATTAGGAAGAGCTACAGCCACATCACGTTCAAAATGCCCGTTTTCCTTGCAGAACAACATGTAGCAAACATCCAGCTGGGAAGGCGGTTTTGACATACCATCCCCTGAGGAACAGCCGTTCTGGGTGCAAAGTCATCCAGCGGGCCCTGTACCCTGCTTGCAGAGCAGACCTGCATGGCCGTCAGGGCTGGAGTCATGAAGGAGTGACCCACCGAGGAGGTCGCCTTTCTCCAGTGGCCGTCCTCATTGCAGTCACCTCTTGGACAAGTGTCACTGAGCTACGGAGAGCCCATGGGTGCTCTTCCTTAGAGAACTCGCTACCAGCATCATCCCTGGCTGCATTTGCTGGAGGGTTGTCTTGGCAACGGGTGGGGGGGGTGCAAAACAAAGGCAGCCCAGGAGATGTCCTCACGTCCTCAAAGAGACGGGGGAGTTCTTCAGGAAGCCCTTCTGGGGTTGATGTAAAATGAACAGGTCAAAGTGCTTCTGAATCTCAACCACTTCCCACAGCACGATATAACCTGATATTTTTATACTGTTCTAAGACTAGCAATAAAATCAACTAGTTATCAAATTTAGTACAAAAGCCCCTTATGAGATGTAAAATTTGCAGTTTCCAAGAAATAGTGATTTAAAAAAAATATTTCAAATTGTATGAAGATCATTATGTCATACATTAAGAAAAAAATAACCAGTGGCACTTGTTCCAGCGCCTTAAAATGAACATGACAGTCTCGGTCTCAAGAACATGTCAAATATTTTTGGTAAGACGGACTTTTATTCAAAAGATAAGCTCAGGTATTTTAGAAAAGTATCCACCTGGCTGCTCTTCACTGGGACTCAGGTGCGCCTTCTTGTCACAGGGTCTCAAGCCCTTGGCTAAATGTGTGTCCCCTGGGCAGGGTCCCTGGAGGAGATGGCTGTGTTGGCCTCACATTCAGTCATCAGAAAGAGATATACCTCTAGTTGAAGAAGCTATAGGTTCCTAAACACAGTTAAGCTCTTTGAACCTTTGGAAGCTCTAAGTAATAAACCATTTAAGATATGGCTTCTCCATATTTATATAGAAATATATGAACTTCTCACCACCCACCCGCCAGCAGTAAATGCTGAACTGCCTGGAGAAGCGAGGGAGAAGGTGTGAACTTTGACATCTTTTATTTACATGCTCAAGAGCGGACGCCTGGCTTAGCTGGCTGAATGCATTACACGGGAAATTAGAGCCAAGATTACACTTTTACTTCCATTTAGCGTTTAAATAAAATATTGTTTACTTTCTCCTCAATGCCTGCACTTAGAAAACGTGGCTGGTGCAGCTCACCTGCAGGCTGACACTGTCAAGGCGTGGCCTGTGTGCTTACAGGAGCTGGGATTGGGCAAGCAGAGGGAGCTGCTGCTGAGCAGAACACTCCCGTTGGTCACACTGGCTGCATAATCTTTATGAGTCAATCATACACACTGAGGGGGCCGGCAAGTGGCATAGTGGTTAAGGGGCTGCACTAGCACATGGCCGACCGTGGTTTAAGTCCCAGACCCAGTGGTCTTGAAATTTTTGTGCATGCATGCCCAAAATCCCGAGAGAAGAATGGAGGAGAAGGGACTGTGGCATGACCAGTCCCCCTGGGGCATGATTTCTTGATTTCGCTATGTCTCTGGCAAGTACATGCGCCCTATAGCAAAAATCTCTCTCTCTCAAAATAATAATACACACTGAAAGGTCTTGCACAGCTTTTAGCAAATTTAATTACTTAGAAGCTACATGACCACTTTTTAAAAACTATTATTTAATTTTATTCACTATCATTATTATTCCTTAATTTGACTAGAGAGAGAGAAAGGGAAAGTGAGAAACCAAGTCACCAAGTCTGGGTCTCGAACTGCAGTCGGCCGTGTGGGAGTCCGGCACCTCAACCACCATGCCACCTGCTGGCCCATGACTGTTTTTTACTATATCAATAAGCCGTTTCTTTTCAAGGACACCCATCTCTGAAATGGAAAGTTAGAAGGGAAATCCCATGTGACAACGGATTCAGGGAAACTTCTGCTTCTCCCTTTCCGGGGAGGATCTTCCACGTTAGGACTCGTGGAGGTGGCTGTCTCTGCCGCCTGTGGCAGGCTCAGGTCCTGGCTGCCTCCCAGTCACTCTGAGGAGGAAGGGCACGCCATTGTGTTAAGATCTCTGTTTGAACCAAGCCGGTCAAGGAGATGGTGACTGTCACACGAGGTGAAAACACTTACACAACAATTCTACCACCCGAAGGGAACAACACGGAGTGTGGTTTCTGGGGCTTCAGGAACCCGACGGAGCACTGCTGATCTGGAGCTGGGTGACACTGACAAAGCCTCTGCTCTAATGCCACTTGGAAGCAACCTGAAAACTACCCTGGATGTCAATGGCCTCCTCTTCTTCAATTATATTAACATCTGTTTATCTTGCCTCTTTCTGGCTAAAGTAGACCAGACTCTGGATATGTATTTGGCCTGATTCCATGAGCAAAAGGCCTTAATGGCATCTGAGTTCCGTATAAAGGACTAGCGTACTGAAGTTTTAACACAGACTTTCTTTTTCTTTTTTAGGTTTTTGCTATAGGGCACGTGCACTCACCAGAAAGAGAGACAGAGACAGAAAGCAAGAAATCACTCCCTCCCAGGGGGGAGGGCCGCACTGCAATTCCTTCTCCTCCATTCTCCTCTCGGGATCTTGGGCATGTATGCACACACGTCGGCATGAGTTTAAGCCACCGGGTCTGGGACTTGAACCACAGTCGACAACATAAGAGTCCAGCGACATAGTGATTACACCATCTGCTGGTCCCATTTACTCAGATATTCTAAAGGGGGGAACAAAACCCACCCTCGGCCTTGGCTGCCCTCACAGTGTCCTCTCTAGGGCTAGTCCTCCATGGCCGTGAGGGTAGGCTGTGTGCCTTTTGACCCAGCCCTGGGGAAGACAGAAACAAAGACTGACTGTACCTTCTCTCATTTTCATCTCATTTATCCGCCCAACAGCCAGACCACACGGGACAGGAAGGAGCAGCCAGCACCACCATAGCTGAGGGTCAGTCTATGGTGCCTGAAGGCCTCCTCAGAGAGGCTCCTCTGGAAGCCAGGGCTTCCCTCCACTGTGTAGTGGGGTCCTGGAAGGGGCCTGGAGCACACAGAGTACTCCTGGGCCCTGAGAAGGGAGGGGCAGTCTGTCAGAGGGTCTGTGCCCTGGAGGTGGGTGTACACCATGTCACCACCACGGGCATCGGGAATGGGTACCCAGAAGAGGGACAGGGAAGCTCTGAGAGGGGAGCTGAACGGGGCTGTGCCCACCACTCTTCCTATTTCAAACAGCAACCAGACGGTCCTACAGTTGCAACATGTGCCCGGATGCTACAGCTTAGCACTGCCACGGGGCTGCATCTGGTGGGAGGCTCCCTACTCAGGCCACCTCATTTATTCTAGAAGAGACAAGTGAACACTGCACTGCAGAAGAGCAGGCTCTCCCACAGCGTAACCCAGAGGGGAAGCCTTCCTAGGGACTGTGCACTGCGCAGGGGGTATAGAAAGAAGAGCATCCTTGGGGTGCAACGAGGATGGTGTCACCCTGTAGAATTTAATGTCTGAATCTGGCATCTGTCACCCACTGCTAAGTGCTTCTAGAATTCCTGCAACCCAGACTCTGGGCTGATGCCACATCAGACCCTCCAGAGGGAGGTTCAGGAGTCTTAGAGAGAGAATCGAAGGCCAGGTTTCATGGTGGGCAGGGGTAGTGTGCATGCATGGATGTCAATTTCTCTGACCTCCAGTTTTTTTAGAATTGTGAAAAGAAATTCACTTTTATAAAAGTGTATGGAGAACCAGCTGGAGGTAAAAAATAAAACACAACTTAATATGAACTGGAAAATAGAAGTCACTATTATACGGGGAATAAGGAGTCTCCCTTCCTGACCCAATTTATTTGACTGCCTTGATCAGCATACAGTTACCCTCTGCCCATGTAAGCGTTAAGGCCACGAGTCATCCTGTGTCAGAGACATTGTCATGTTAGAATTAAGAGCGGGAACAGCAGGAACCACAGCGACCCTTCCCCTCTCACAGCTCCATCTGCCACAACCACCCGAAAGTCAAGTCTCATTTTTTGGTTACTTTTTTTTTTCTTCATATTAACCAAATTTAATTAGTGAGAGAGAAGTCTGGACTTTACTCTGGAAGTAAAGATGTAAATCTTTAAATGACAAGTGCTATTTCAAAAAAAAAACGAATGTATGTCACTCGAACCACGTTACTATTATGCACTAATTCATGGAACCCACTGAACGACCCTTAGCGTCAAGAACAAGTCTAAAGTCTCATGCAATGGGTTGTCTCTGTAGGCCTGCCTCGGGACGAAGTGCTACTGCATTCACGGCTCCGTGGCATCCCTGATCGGAAATAACAAACATAAGCAAGGAAACGTTATGATTCTGCAAACTGTTTGCTACTGTAATTCGGGGACTACGCTTTGAAATGAAAGCATAAGGTACATGTCCTATTAAATAGGCGTGTCTAGATGAGCCAGGTAGAAAGCATCTGTCCTTGTTCAGTCCTCTTCGAAAGGAAAGGAAAG